ATGTCATCGGCAAATGTGACCTTCTTTGTGATATTCTCCTAACAGATGCAACTCCTTCTTTTCTACATTTTGGCAGGGATCCTTCATAAACCCACCATCTGGGCTCATCCTGGCTCTGTGATCCCCTCAGGGAGTCCTGTTACCATCTGGTGTCAGGCGACCCTGGGAGCCCAAACATATGTGATATATAAAGAGGGAAGCCAAGAGCCCTGGGTCCAACAGACTCAAACAGACAACAGCACCAAGGCAAAATTCACCATTCCATCTGCGACACAAGTGCAGGCAGGCCGGTATCACTGTTACACCTACACCTCTGCGGGATGGTCACAGCACAGTGACCCCTTAGAGCTGGTGGTGACAGGTGAGAAGACACCAGAAATCTTAACCCCAGATGTCACTCTCAAGAAAAGACCGCATAACAGTACATCTCATCAAAGGACAGCCATGGGGGACAATTCAGGCTTTGTGATCCTCTTTAATTTTCCATGTGTGTTTCTTCTAGGAGTCTACAACAAACCCACGCTGTCAGGCTTGCAAAATCCTGTTGTAAACTTAGGAGGGTCTGTGACCCTCTCTTGTACCTCAAGTCAGAGACATGACTGGTTCATTTTAACAAAGAATGGTCAGAAGTTCTCCATCCCTCGGAGCCCAAGACACACGCACACTGGGATGTTCCTGGCTGAGTTTCCAGTGGGTCCAGTGACCTCCAGCCAGAGGTGGAGCTTCAGATGCTATGGCTATTACATAAATAATCCTCAGGTGTGGTCAGAAGGGAGCAACGTCCTGGAGCTCCTGGTCTCAGGTGAGGAAGCCTCAGACTCTCTGTGGAATCAGGTTGCACCTGACTCATGTTCCCAGTGAAGACCAGGGTTGTGATATGTCTGTGCAATCAGGGCTCCTGAGATAACTGACACAGCATGGAGACTGTGGGAGTCACTGTTCAGAAAATGGGGGAGGGCATAGTGAGACTGGGGCTTGGTGAGGTCAGGAGACTAATGACTATTCCCACGACATTATTGGTCCTTTGCTAATCAAGGGTAAATTTCAAGATCAACAGCATGCTTGATGTTTACTGTGATACTGTTCAAAGTCCCCTCTGCTTCTCACCTATTTCCCTGCAGGGAAACTTCCGAAACCCACCTTGTGGGCTGCACCAAGTTCTGTGATTGCCTCTGGCAATGTTGTGACCATCTGGTGTGAGGGGTCCAAGGAAACCCAAATATATTTCCTGTATAAAGAAGGAAGCCCAGCACCCTGGGACAGTCAAACTCTCAAAGGTCCTGGTAACAAGGCCATGTTCTCCATAGCATCCATGGAAAAGCATCATGCAGGGAAATATTGCTGTTACTCCTACAAATCTATAGGCTGGACAGAGCGCAGTGACCCTCTGGAGCTGGTGGTGACAGGTGAGAGGTCACTTCTCCAACACTAGCACCATTCTTGAGGAAAGGAATACGTTCACTGTAGTGTGTCCTCATATTCCAAAACAGAGTAAATTGTTTACCACTTGATTCCACTTACCATGCTTCCAATTTCTTCCTAGGAGTTTACCCCACTAAAATCACCCTGTCAGCCCTTTCCAGCCCTGTGGTGACCTCAGGAAATGTGACCTTTCAGTGTGTCTCACAAAAGGCAGATGACAGGTTTATTCTAAAGAAGGAAGATGAGAAGTTCTCCAGGCCTTTGCCCTCACAGAAAATACACCCTGAGCTATTTGGAGCTGTGTTCACAGTGGGACCTGTGACCCCCAACCAGAGGTGGAGGTTCACATAGTATGGCTATAATTGGAGCAACACACATGCGTGGTCAGTGCCCAGTAACTCCCTAGAGCTCCTGGTCTCAGGTAAGGAACTGCAGGAAACTCCTTTGGCTGTAATTATAACTGACACAGGATCCCAGGAAAGGACTCTTGTGTAGTGAATCATTGTGAGCCAGGGCTACTGAACTCAATGTCTCAGAATGTGAGATAAAGCTTGACCTGAGGAACCGAAACCAGGTTTGACATTTAGGATGCAATTTAATTTCCATGGGAAAGTGTGGTTTTTAGCAGATCAGCTTATGTGTCCCTGCAATGGTGACCTTCTCTGTGCAATTCTCCTAACAGATGCACCTCCTTTATTTCTGTTTTTTTTTTTTTTTTTTTTTTTTTTTTTTTTGCTGGGACCCTTCATAATCCCACAATATGGGCTGAGCCAGGCTCTGTGATCACATCAGAGAGTCCAGAGAGTCCTGTCACCATCTGGTGTGAGAGGACCTGAGGAACCCAAACATATGTGCTACACAAAGAGAGAAGACTAGAACCCCTGGGCAGACAGTTCCAAAAGAATCACAACAATAAGGCAAAATTCACCATCGCTTGTGTGACAGCACTGTAGACTGATATCACTGTCACTCTCACAACTTTGCTGGCTTGTCAGGATCCAGGGACACCGTGGAGATGGTGGTAACTGGTGACAGGATAGTCTGGAGTCAGGTGGATCCCAAGATGTGACTCTTAAGATCAAAGTGTGCTCTGCATATATCCCCATGTGTTAGTCAGGTCTGAGGGACAACCTAGACTGTGTGAACCCATTTAATGTTACATATGTATCTCTCCAAGGTGTCTACAATAAACCACCCTGTTTCCACTGCCAAAAATTGTTGTAATATTAGAAGGCTCTGTGATCCTCTCATGTATCTCAAATCAGAGATACAACTGAATGATTTTAATTAAAGATAAGCCTTTCTCCAGCTCCATGTGCTTACAATATGCATACAGCAGGAGGCTGTCTCTAGCCAGGTTCCAAGTGGGTCCTGTCACACTCAGTAAAAGATGGAGGTTAGCAACCCTCAAGTGTTGTCAGAAGGTAATGACATACTGTAGCATCTAGTCTCAGAGGAAGCCCCAGTCTCTCTGTTGAATGACACTGAACCTGAAACAGGTTTCCCCAAGAGACGCGAATGTGTGATGAGTTAAGGAAAGGACAGGTCCTTTAACCCACTGATACAGAAGCAGACCGTGGGAGTGAAGGTAGAGAAACCAATGAGGGGTCTTGTGAGAACGGAACCTGGCAGTTAGCAGAGCGATGGATCTTCAGATTTCTGCATGTGTCCTTCTGTTATTCAAGGCTCAAGTCTGAGTTTCACATTAACTGTACAACTGTTTAAAGTCCCACATTGCTCTCAGAGGGTAATCCAGGACAATTGACATAGGAATTGATCCATGCAGAGATTAAGAAGTAAACTGAGATTTCTCAATTAATGACTATCTCACCCTGTTCATGGCAGTCCAGGATATTCCAGGGAGGAAGGTGGGAGGTGCTGGAGGTGTGTAGTGTAGATATAAGACTGAGAAGAGATGAGATATTAAGTGCAGCCTCCCTCACATCATTCCCCCAACAAATTTCCCACAGTTTCTTGTGGTCCAAAAATCCATTCCTATAGAGGTTTTAGATATTCTGGTCTAGGGAAGTCGTTTCACCTGAGTGTGTGCAGAGTCTCTGTCCCCATGAGTCTTCATTCCTTTATTAGCTTGAATGGTGACCAAGCTACTGGGTGTGAAGCAGAGATCCCAATATGGTCCCCAGAAACTCCGAGGTTTGGAAGCTAGGCAGCAACAGAGGCATCCTGAGGAACAGTGACATTTTGATCTGTCCCAGGCTGAAACACATGAAACGACAGCAGGCGTCCGTTCTCCATATTTCCCCATCCTATTTTGTCAGGCCAAGATCAACAGCTCTTCATCCCTGCTGTTTCTGACCACAGAGGTCTGAGAAAGAAATCCACTGCAGGGTGTGTTCAGGGGCATCAGGCTAGTTATGTGGTTGGTGCATTCTTGTTTGGAGTGGGTGACAGGTACTATAGCTCCTGTCCAGTCCACTTCACTCATCTCTAGAGACCTTTGGAATTTAACATCACTGGTGGCAAGCCTTGCCCCCTCATTACCCAGAATTGAGCCCTGCTGCTTAGAGAGTCACATGTCACACACCAAATTTCAATTGCCCTCTCTCTTATGTGGTTCTCAGTTTCTCCAAGTGTAAATGGGAGAGCCCTAGCACAGACATTAAGTTCTTTTAAATGATGGTCTTACCTGTTTCATCTACTTACAGAGAAAGACTCTAGAATCTTGTTCTGCAATAGTTCTGCCCAATTCGGCACTGTGTTGGTGACACTGTGTCAGAGTTTGGTACAGGGCTAGGGCAGAATATTCAGGATCTTTCCTTCCACTTCATGAGGTTTAGCTCCAGTGTAGGAAACT